GATTGCCCCGCCGGAGGAATATTCTGTACATTGAAGTACATTCAAATCATGTGCGGCACCACACACCGCCCGCCACCCCACACACACACACACACACACACGCGCGCGCGTCACGCCACCCCGTGCTCCCTCACTCAGTCAGTCTCGCTGTAACCACGCTTGTGTTGACATCAGCACTGTAGGTCGACCCTGATTTTTTTACCAAAAAATTTTTAATTTATGATATTCCTTGTTATTATAGGTCGACCTAAGTTTTTGAGGGTATTGGAACAACAAAACCTTCAGTAAAAACACTCTACGTCCTATAAACTGAGGCTCGCCGTGCCTGAAACACAGAGTGCCAAAGGCAAATTGTTTACCATTTATTATTACGACACTTTACACTGAAACGCGGGTAGTTTCAACAAAAATATTGTATACAGTATTTCCATTCAAGTATTTATTCAAGTCAATTAGGAGGGAATGTTATTGTAATACAACATTTTTTAACTGAAAACCAGTACTGTACACTAATGTACAACAATTTTTTTCTCTTGAGCAAAATATATGATGTTTATATTCAATTACCTGTATTGGCTGTCTTGCAAGGATTCCAGCAATGCAAATTATAATCTCCTAACTTTAGTCTGAGATATTATAAAAGATAAAAACTGTAAGCCTAAATAAACCCCTGGTTGAGCAGATGGGGGAGGGAGGGAGGGAGGGTTGGAGCCAGCCAGCCAGCGAGGGGTGGGGGGGGGGGTTGAGTTGATATGTTTGATAGTTTGAGCCGAAGGTCTCTGTGTGTTTATTTAACAGTCCTACTACGCTTCTCCCATTTTAAAATGCCAGTGAAATGACCTGGGAGAATATAATTAACATTGCTGGGATTCTTGTAAGACACTGATTATTTGAATAGCAACATGCTCTAATTTGCACTAGACATAACAATTTTAGTACCGTAATGAAATTAGTACATGTGCACTCCAGCTTTGCACTAAGGTCATTTATTTCTTTTAGTACGGTGTGTGCATGTAAATGGAGGAAAATAAATGAAGAAATTTATGTAAATCTACCCAAAAATACAGTTGAAAACTTTATACTGTATTATAAAATGTACTACACAGTATTGTACACTAATGTACTACATTTTTATATCTTGAGCAAAATATATGACGTTTATATTCAAATTATTGGCTGTCTTGCAAGGATTCCAGCAATGCAAATTATAATCTCCTAACTTTAGTCTGAGATATTATATAAAATAAACACCTTAAAGAATAAAGTTATCACCAATCTTTTGTCTGGGAACACAAGAAGGGAGGTAGCCAGCGAACATGGGGGGGGGGGGGTAAGGTGACAGAATGTGGTGTTTGTTTATTTATTTGAGATAAGATGTGACAGTTGGCGCTGAAGGCCTACGTGTTTATTTATCATTCCTTAAGAGTGACTAAGCTCTTCTCATAATTTGCCACCCAAACGACCTGGGTGAATATAACTTACATTGCTGGGAATCTTGTAAGATAGTGATTTATTTGAATACCTGTATAAACAATCTATATTTGCAATAGATATAACAATTTAAGTACCGTAATCATTTAGTACATGTACAGTACAGGTTTGTTCTACGGTAAAATCTTTTGAACAACGAAAGAAAGCGAAAGTCATTGTTTTCGTCACGATTTTATCCCACTTTCCACTGTAATACGTACGTCATTTCAGCAAATATATTACATTTCCATATTTATTTCTGAGAATATATTCATTCAGTCACAGTTAAAGTAAAATATACTTGTGATGTAATATTTTAATGAAAATACCCGGATATTTAGAAATATGGTATCGTAGTTTTCTTTTGTTTCAAATTTAATTAAAAAAGATTGATGTTTCAAATGTAATGAACAAAAATTTATGTACAATATCTATAAATAAACTTAAAAAAGTGATTACTTTATGTTTTACATCGTCCTGTGCATACCATACCATGCATTTGGCTACTTTGGCCTTGCTA